AGGCTGCAAAGTATCTCTTCTTTGCTCCCTTCAATGCATTAGGTAGGCTCAATGATGACCCCTTACCAGTGCAATTGCATTTGACCAGTTTTCCTACAGACTACAGCAACTCCCCACAAGTCTGCCCTCATGCTGCCCCAAGTACCAAGTTGAGCACAGGTGTGTGAGAACAACTCTACTCTGCTCACCAACTCAGGTCTCAGTGATACAGACCATATTGGCCTCCTCAGCCATAATCAGATCAAAAATGAGGGAGGGCTTACTAGAATGGACCTGGCATTCAGCAAGAGCAGCCACTGACCCAGGGGCCTGGCTGACAGGACAACCACAAATACCCAGGTTGGAATTTCTCACACCAACCCACCATTGCCGCCTAACACTCAAATATCTGTTCCAGGGAGTTGAGGGACTAAACAAAACAGAATGGGAAGTGGTACTGAGGGCTGTAGTAGGAAAGGGGAAAGCAGCACAAGTTATCTCTCCATCCATCTTCCTCCAGCGGAAGCCCTCACTAGATCGGAAACTCTTTTCCTAACGGAAGTCCTTCTGTTCACAGATCAGAAACTCTGGATGAAGCATAAAGTGCAGACAAATATCCAGTGTACACAGTGGGCAATCTATGGTCGGTTAGGAAAACTTCTATGTGAATATCAGTAGAGGAAAAAGAAAATCAGTGCACTGGCTATGATGGTCTAGGATTGCACAGCTGAGCATGGATTTGAGTAGTTCAACATTAGCTACAAGACCATGGTGGCTTTTTATAGGCAGTATCATTTAACCTTCTTGTATTCTAAAATATTATTCTATGTATGCACTCTTGTTCCTGACAATTTTCAGTACTATCCTAAATATCTTTGGTTGTCTCCTATTTTGCATGAAATCGAACAACCCAAACCTTATGTGAACCGTCCTGAGACCCCCGTGTATAGGGCGGTATATAATTTCAATTAATAATAATAATACACAAAACACAAAGTGTGGTGCACAAATAATATACAAATCTTACATTTTCACCCCTTCTTCAGTAACACATGCTATTTTATTTTCTATATATTTACATCATTTAGATTATATGATATAAAACTGTCAAAGGGCTTAAGACGAATATCTTTAAAATACCATGTTTCTGTACAACTGTTTTCATCAACAAAGAATGTTCAAAACATCAAAAGATTGATTTTGCTATAACACCATAAGCCATAATATATCAGAAGCAGAAGAGTAGCTTTTCCATACTACTATCTTTATTTTAAAACTTGGTATTTCCAAGTCAATGTATCCAAGAAATAAACCTGATTTAATTCCTACACGAGATCCTAAATGGAAGTGCTTTTGGTCTCCTTAACTGAGTACAATCCGAACACAGATTACAACATCCATTTTGCCACGCACAGAAACACAACACAGAGAAACCACAGCCAATCCTGGCTGGCTAACACATACAAAGGCAGCCAAACACATGCATGTGTGTCACAAGCAATGATCTTCTATTTCCTACAGAAAAGAGCTTTAAGCTTCCACCTTTTTGTAAAGAGAAAAAACCCTGCTCCCCACCCCAACCCCGTAGGTACAGGCTCTGTCTTTAGAGACTTGCCTGGGAAGCAAGAGCGGGAATAACCGAGATTTTAAAGCGAGAGATTTACAGGGGGAGGAAAAGAGAAAGCGCTTAAAAGAGAAAGGAAACCCTTTGGGAAGGCCCGGATGACGACAGGCAACTTCGGACTCCCAAAGCCACCGACCTCCCTCCCTTCCCACCCACTCGCTTTAACAGCCCCGGCCGGCTCCTCGTCCCTCTTCTGACTTCCTCGAAAGTAGGGAAGGAGAACGGAAGGGTGGGCACAAAGACGCCGGCTCACCTTCGCGCTATGTCAGCTGAGGAAAGGGACTTCCAGGCCCAAGAGCCCAACCGCCACATTAACAACCCAGCCAGGAGGAGGGGGGGGGGACATGGGCGCCTCAGCGGCGTCTCCTCCCGCCGCCGCCCCCCCCCCCCGCCCGGCTTCCCTCTCCTTCACCCTCCCTCCCCCCTCCCCTCCCGGCCGCCGGGCCCGGTTTCGAGGCCTGACCCGGCCTCCTCGCCCCCTCACCGCTGAGCGCCGACGCCTGCAGCGTCGCCCCTGAGGTGCCGTCGATGACTTTGATGGCGCCGTGGGCGGTCACGGCCAGGATGGCGTTCAGCGCAGGGTGGTAACAGAGGCTGCAGAGCCCGTCGGCGTCGCAACGCAGGCAGCCGTCCCGCAGCAGGAGCCACTCGCAGAGGCCCGGCCCGGGGCCCGTCGACACCGGCCCCGGCGCCGAGGAACAAGACGCTCCCCCGGCCTCCTCCGCCGCCATCGCGCAGGACAAGAGGCCCGGCGGAGCCGCTCAGTGACAGTCCCGAAAGGAGCCGCCGCCACCACCACCAGTCAGCATCCGGGTCCGGAGAAGGGGGGGAGGGAAAAGGGAGAGGGGGAAAGAGAGACAGAGAGAGAGAGAGAAAGGGAGCGAGCCGAACGTCGGCGCCGGCAGGAAGTGACGTTGTCACGCCGGATGCGGAATGCCGACAAAAGAGAACCGGCTTCGCGAACCGGAATTGGAGCGAAGGGGTTAATTAAGAAAAAAAAGGAAAAAGAAAACCCCCACCCACCACCTGAGTGGCCAAAGGGACGCTTCTCGAGCGACGTCACTGGCTCAGTTGACTCCGCCCCAATTTCGTCTTGTTACGCATTCTTTCCCGACAGGCACCGCGCGGCCAGCAGTATAAACAGTAGCTGAGCTGCTTGTGCGGTGCTAGGAAATGGTGCGCTTGTGTTTTGCTGTAGGGAAAAAAGGAAGAAAAGAAAAGCAGGGCGGGTCTCTATTAAAAGGAAGGTTGTCGTAGAAAAAATATCCGGGTTTCTGCTTCAGGATTTATTTATTTATTGCTTGTACACATTTCTTCGTGCTGGGCTTGGCAGCTGCGTTTTGAGCGCTGTTTTCACGAACCCCCCCCCCCGAGCCTCCGGGAATAAAATATTGGCTTACTTATAAGGGCAGCCGAGCATCAGAGAGGATCGTCACAAAAAAAGCCAGGGCAGAAACACTCGCCGCGTGGGTTTCCTTTATTTTCATAAGTGGCCCGGGATTGTGTGTGGCGGGAACACAATGCCTAACCCAGGTGGGATGGGAGTTAACAGAAAACCGCACCTCGTTTAATATGGGCTCACTTACTTTGGTATCCTTTCCACACCTGTTTCCAGATCCCCCCATACCGCTTTATCCTTTCCTGTTTCACTGCAGGCGGAATAATACTGAAATGAGGTTTTATGAACATTCACAGCAAGTCCTAGTCTTACTTTTGAGCTTAGAGCATGTTCCACACATTCTTATTTAGGCTTTTGGTTTCTGGGTTATCATGAAGTTGTAGTTTTTCCTGTGAGGTTTGCCTAGCTATTCAAAATCAAAATTTTGTACGTGGCCTATAATTTTGCCCTTGATTTATAAACAGTGACATATGACTGAGCCTGCAGCTGTTTTCTAAACTCATTATGGCATGCTGTCAGGGCTGAATTGTGCCTAACATCATGTTTCCAAACACTGGTTTTTCTTCTCTTCAGTAATGGAAATTTATCTGCTTTGATGCATTTTGATTGCCTGTGTAGATAAAATAGCAATCCTGAATTTTGCACAAATTGCAGAATACAAAATTATATAGTACTTCATTTTCAAACAACCTGATACAGACTCTGTTTCTCCTAATCCCATGTAAACGTTGCATTGCTGTGCTTATTCAGTTGTGAAAAAAACCACACTAGTTCTTACAAGGCTGAACAGAAAATTAGGATAAGCCTAGAAAATAAGTTCTAGGAAGGAAAACAAATATGCACACTTAACACAAACACAATGGTGAATATGTTAACAAATTTAATTATTTCATTCATCTGAAACACTGATCGTGATAGTGAAGTTTACAAGTTATTAAATCAGTCTTATCTCCAACCTAGTTTTCAGTTTTATGTTACAACCAGTCTTGCCTCTCAGGAACCGCTTTCCTACCACGTCCCACTATTTCTATATATATTTATTACTAATAAAACATGAACAATACAGTACAATTGTTGTCCCCTTTGCTTTCTTACCACCCAACTCAGAGTGACCTTTTATAATGTAACAAAAGGAAGTATTCCCAATGCTTGTTTTGAGCTTCTGAAGTCCAGTCTATAGTGATATTCACTTGACGTTTCTAATATGCATTCTCAGTATGTGAGAATTTTTTACAGAATCCTGGTGCACAGCTGTAGCATATTTTTGATGAGTGTATCAACACAAAATGGACTGTCTAATTTTGTATTAAGGCAAAAGGGTTTCTCTTGTGCTGCTGGGCACACTTAAAACATTGCTATCAATTGCTAAGGGCTCCTGGCTGCAATATAGACTGTAGCAAAATGCCAGGATATGTACAATTAAAAGTGGACTTGTTTCAGTTGCTTGTGAATTTGTATTTAGCTGATACTACCAATTATTATGAACTTTAGCAATGTATGCTTTAAAAGACCAAAAAGCAATCATCAGATTTTTCTTGTATATAGGAAAGAAAAAATAGCACATGAAAAAATTAGCTTCCTGATTTCAAAAATAAAGTTTTGGCATCTTCACCTTCAAACAGTCATGTATCTAAAAGTATGAGGGGAATTCTGTTTGTAAACTGGAATTGTTTCCCCCCCCCAAGGACAAAATATTTAATATGATAGCAAAGCAGGTTTTATCAAACTCCAGTCATGGATAAATACCCACATCCATCGGCAGTGAAAAGAAGTTCATGGCAGAACTGTTCCGAGTTGATGTCAAACAGAAATGTTACATGTTTTCAGGTATAACAAAAGCTTGTGCTATCCATAGTCTTATAAAAATAATTTTCTTTTTAGAAATGCACAAGTTTAAACAGGATAGGTATGGAGATCTTGGAGGACTGAACTGGGAAGACTGGAGCAGGGGGAAAATGCTGTTGTTGGGAGGTTTAATAAGTACAAATAAGCTTCATACATATTGTGCAAACAAGTTTAATTCCAAATTTTATAAAATACATTTACTGTATTTACATATATGCCTAGCCTAAAAATAGTAATCAAATGTAACGAAAAAGGTTCATTTGTTATAAACTGTTAGAACCATTAAATAACCCAACCATTTCTTTGCATAGCATATGCAGAGGTGAAATATCTTTTGAAACATTATGCAATTCTGCTCATGTGTATACAAACTGATGTTAAATCCAAATACACACTACAAATATACACTTTAATCCAAACTGAGTGCAGTATTCAATGTTAGCCATACCTAGAATAGACCCATTGAAATTGATGGATATTACTAACTTAGTTGGATATCACACTACGTCTTCTAGGCTACAAGTTTAAGAACGCAGCAGCAACAGCATTAAGGAGCTAGATATTATACCAAGTCTATATTACTGTTCTTACGTGAGTTCAAAAAGACTGGGCTATTGCATTTTATCTTTCCCCATTAGTCAAGAGTGTCATACTGTTGTTCTGTACTGTATATTCCCTGTACTGTATATTCCCTGTACTTTAAACTAGAAAAATGAACTTCAGTCCTTGTCCTTGGGCTCCAATATTAGTAATTAAAATGGTTATTAAAAGTTGCTGTGCTAGTATTTACATTTTAAACAGCAGCAATATTTTTTGTACTTCCATTTGTATATACGGTTCTCATAAAAAATGCCGATTGATTGTCGCTAGGCCATTTAATCATACATGGTTCTAAAAAGACCACAGGATTACTGAGGTGAGCATATGCTAATTGGAACTATTAGCATATACTTTCAGAAAATTTATAATTAGATGCATCACTTATACATGGGTCATTCTAAGATTCTTACATAAACATCTTCATGGAATGCACCTATGAAGCTTTCATAAAAGCCTTCCCATGTTCTTGGTTCTGCTGATGGGGTGAGTTGCAAGAGCAACTTGAGAAAATTGAAACATAGAAAATTCTAATACAGGAAGTGACTCTACTAAAGTTACGATCTACTGAAATTAGGTAATATTTTAGATTAAGGGCTAAACCTTTAGCAACATCTCAATAAAGTACTCATTATAGAATACATTCTTGACATAATTAACACAGTACATACAAACTAGGAATTAACCCAGGAGTTATTTTTTCAGTAATAATTTGGGCCTAGTTGAATAATGAACACAGCCTACAGGCAAAGTGATTCATACAATAGTGGCTTGCTTCACATAGTTTGCCTAACAAAGAGGATAACCACAATTTTTCCTAAAGATGATCAAACTATGGATTGTTTCTCCATTTATTTTCCAGCTCTTCTTGGCCTTGTACCTTTGCAGGTTGGTGAGCATCTGGGGTGAAGTGGGCAAACAAACCAAAGTTAACCAAGCCAATCCATGTTTAAAAGAAAGCAAGGTTTGTAAGCCAACAAAAAGCCATTAAAAGCCATTGTTAAGCTGCTAGACACAATTCACACATAACACACTGTCATGGCTCAATAAGCCATGGTTTAGTGCAAGATTCAGACTAGAAACTTGCTATCATAAAAAGCACTGCTCAGTTGTTTAATTTGTTTGAATTCGATTTAAACAGAATAAATACTTCAAGAGTTACTTAAAACTGAACCCAGTTTAAAGAAATTTTAGGCTGATCGGCTGCTAAATTAGCTCCTTTTTTGTTATTTTTCTAACCAAGAAAACAATTTGGTAATATACTAGCAGTTTCGCAAGGTTCATTTTTTAATCCCAATTGTCAAGAGCTCTGATCCAGCTCATTTCTTTTAAAAAGGGGGAGAAGACACTGGGCAATGTCCAACCAAGTAACTCAGAGCAGATCTATTGAAACCAATGGATTCAATATCCATTGATTTCAATCGGGCTACTCCAAGTATGAGTAACAACCGACATCACCTACTAGCACATGACTGCTTATGCAAGAATGTGGGTGGGGATATGCATCCAAAGCTGAATCTGATTCAAAGGCATACATGTGCTAAAAGCATCCCTATTCAGATGTGCATCTGAATAGTGCCTGGGGTTCCCAATCCAGCAGGTGATACACATAATTAGTCTGCTTATGGGCACAGAGCTCCATAGGTGGCATGGACCAAGGGTGTACTTTGGAAATGCTAAAACATATTAAGTAAGTCCTTGTAGTTAAGACTATAATTTCAAGTTTTATTGGTGGGGAAAAGTTAATCTTGGGCCAATATTAAACAGCCATTTCCATAATATTCTTAAGCCACGTCAAAAATTATCCTGGTCATCACAACACAAGTTTAATTCTGTTGCTAATCAAAGTCTAACTGCTGCCATTTCATCAGGTATCATCTCATATTAAGGAGTGCCATTTTACCATAAAAAGTAGTACATTACCCCACTCTGAACAGTAATAGGTCAAAACAGCAAAACAAGGTGTTATAAAAACAAGTACAGTTTTGGAGAAGCACTGTTTATTCCATTATAAGATTTGGTTCAGAACTGTAAGATTTATTTAAACCTTTCTCCCCATTTATCACCACTATCATAAAGATTTCCAAATCAACACTGTAAAAATGTTCTATGGCATACACACAATTTTATCAAAAAACAGTGACTGATTCAAACATTTGGATGCTCAAATTGTTATGCATCTATAATCCTGCTTCAACAAGGAAATAACCTAAACCTACATACGGATGCACATAAAACACTTTCAAGAGTCAGAATTTGTAATGGCCAAATCAAGAGTGTGCAAGGCACCACATTAAGGGTCATGTCTTGGTTACAGGCTAGTCTGAACAATCGGGACCGATTCATAAATATATCTACAGAATATGCTGTGTTGAAAGTAATAAATGAACTATTAACAGTAATCAGAATTCCACTTCAATTTAATGTACTAATCATATGGTCCTTGTGCATTTGGCACAAGTAACAAACTTTTATTCTGAAATTTCAGGCTATAAACACAATGTTCTTACCTTGTTCAATAAAAATCTTATAAGTCTTCAACCTAAAACTCTGTTATAAATCTCTAATGTAACTAAAACTGCTTAAATAATATACAGATATAGTTGGATTACCACTAAAACCTTGACAGCCAGATATGACAGTCATTTGTATTTTCAATCAGGCAACATTTCATCAGTCCTCATGGCAAGCTAAGACATTGTTCCTGTCCAAAGCCACCACTGCAGGTCACACCCCAGTATATAAGGACAAAAAATAGATGTACAATAAGAAGATGGGGTAGATTAGGAGGGGCTTCTTGGTCTTAAATTCTTCTCCAACTAATAACGAAGCAGCACTGTATGCAGCCCAAAATACTCCAAAAAGCTGAGAAAAACAAGAAAATGAAATGTTAACATAGCATGAAACCCCCCTCAAACTCCCCCAGAAGCAATATTTATATCTAGAACAAGCAGAACCAGTTGTGACCAAGCACAGGACTTAAAAATCAGGGCCTATTGAAAATCAGTGGAGCCAAGAAACTATTCACAAAGGCATTCCAAGTTGTTGTTTTTCTTGTTGCCTTTTAGTGACTGAAATGACAGATCAGTTCACATGGGCGCTTCAGCCAGCTGTCCCATTCAATTAAGAAAGCGGCGTTAGAAAATTTGTGAGCTTCCACAGCTAATGTGAATGTTGCAGTGTCATGTGATCTTCTACATCAGATGAAATAATTGCTCACTGGAATGGTGCCATCCTGTGGATGGAAGCAATATTGTAAATCAAGTTCCTCTAATATTTAAATTTTTGAATATTGTCCTTCCACATTACTGTACTGAAGGCAATTTACAAGCCACATAAATGGCAAAATATGCAAGTTTTTGAATTGCAGACATGTTCAACCGGTCGACTGCAATTGACAGGTAGATCCCCTGGTGTTCCTTGTCGATTGTGAGATCCCTATTGAGCGCGGGATTAAAAAAACTGCAGAATGAATGTCTCCGCCCCTCGCCCCTCCCTCCATAGCATCAAGTGGGTGGTCTTTGGTGTTTTAGCTTGGCGATGGGGAATACAAAGATTTAGCGGTGTGTGCGTTTGTTCACAGGGGAGTTTGAGGTGAGCAATTTATGTCATTCCCCCTGAAAAAAAGCTTATCAACTGTGGTGAATGCCCTCCCAAAAAGCTCAACATCTCTGGTCAATCCTCGATGGCAATGGGTAGACCACTGCCAGTTTTTTTATACTGGGAGTAAATCGCAGTCTCTTAGGAGTTGAACGGGCATGCTATAGGGTAACAGACCAACAAAATTCAGAATCCGTTTTGCATATACTATTATAAGGTAACAAAATATGAACAGAACAAAACCTGAACTCCAATACTCATGGGCAGCTTATCTATAAAACTTAAGCACTCTAATCTGTTGCCCATTTGCCATAAAGGATTTCAAACAATGTTTTACTGATATGGACTAGCTGAGTAGTCATATTTATTGCTTATAAACTGTAGAAAAATGAACTGGCATATTTTTCAGTCAGCTTTGCCATTCTGCCAAACAAAATAGTGAACTTACTTTTATTAGCGTAGAAACAACATCAAATGATCCAACCACCAGAAGTACAGGTGCTATTACAATAAGAGGAAGTAAAGAATATCCAATCACACCGAGAACTTGGCCATATGCAACCTGCAAATTTGAAATAAACGAAGTTACCAACTTCCTTCCAGTAATCTTTCAGCTTCAACAAGAGATTCAGATGACTGCTCAACCTGAGCCCAAGAGGTCAACATTTTGTTATATGGAAACTCCCCCAAACCCTCTTCTTCAGCTAGTCTAGAGATGGGGAACCTCTGGCCCTCCAGGTGTTGCTTTTATTCCCAACACTTTCTCCATCCTTAATCCAGTCCTTTTCTGACCTATCACATTATCTGCACTGTTATTCCACCTCATAAATCTTCAATCAATCCCTTTTGCCACCCTGTATGCTTGGTCTTATCAGCCAAAAGTCAGATCTAAGCCCCCAGAGGAAAGAATCAACTCCCTTCTCTATTCTGCATTCTAGGTTGCTGTGTTAATGTTGAAATGGAAACAATAGTGACCAAGTACTATTTTTAAATGAGTCTCAGATCAGAAATTATTACGCAATGTAACACTGAAAACACAAATGATTAGAACCAATTTTGAGGTAATTCATGTTTGACATTCAGTGACCAAGTCCACTATCACAAGGTTCTTACCTCGCCTCCGAGAACCCTGGCCAACAGGAATATTGTCAAGGATCCAAATATCCAAATAGTTATAATCCATGATACCACCTTAAGAAATGTTTAAAAGAGTCTCGTCAATACTCTTCTTTCATCAATACCAACTAATTTTGAAAGAACACAGCTCAGCTAACTTCTTTAAGTTATTAGCAGGTATCCTCCTCTTTTGAAACCATTGAAGGAAGAAGGTTTACCACTGTGGCATCAGGGGTTCCTGATTTCTCTTATGGTTTAAAAGCTGCAGCTAAACATATGAACCCCACAGGATCAGACCCAGCTCACATCTCATCTAGCAACCTGTTCTCACAGTGGCCAACCAAATGTCTAGGGGAAACCTATATGTTATACATAACCACAACAGAACTCTCCCCACTCATGTTCCTCAGCAGCTGGTATTTGGAGGAATGCAGCCTCTGATACTGGAGGTTGGATACAGCCATCATGACTAATGGCCATGGATAGCCTTTTCCTCCGTGAGTTTGTCTAGTCCACTTTTAAAGTATCACTGCAACTTGTGGTTGTGAATTCCATAGTTTAACTATGCATTGTGTGGAGAGGTACCGTATTTTTTGCTCTATAAGACTCACCTTTCCCCCTCCAAAAATTAATGGGAAATATGTGTGCGTCTTATGGTGTGAATGCAGGCTCCTTGGCTTCAGCGATAGCAACGCGAAGCCTCGGAAGCGCAGAGGGAGCGCTCCCTCCGCGCTGCTTTCGCTGAAGCCTGGAGAGCAAGAGGGGACAGTGCGCACCGACCCCTCTCACTCTCCAGGCTTCAGGGATAGCCGCCTGAAGCCTCCGGAGTGCAGCAGGAACTCCCGCTGCGTTCCGGAGGCTGCGGGTTATCTTCAGTGAGGCCAGGAGAGCAAGACTCTCCTGGCTTCAGAAAAAGGAACCTGAAGCCTCCGGAGCGCAGCGGGAACTCCCTGTGCAGCGCCCCTTCAGTGAAGCGGGAGGAGAAATGGAAGGGGCTCCGTTTCTCCTGCCGCTTTGCTGATGGGGCGCTGAGCAGAGAGGGGGAGAATTTTTTTTTCTTGTTCTCCCCCTCTAAAACAAGGTGCGTCCTATAGTCGGGTGCGTCCTACAGAGCGAAAAATACAGTATTTCCTGAAGCTTCCAGCATTCAGCTTCATTGGGTGGCCCTGGTTTCTACTTATCAAAAGAGACAAATTTATCTCTCTGCTCTTCTTCCAATCCTATACACAATTTATGCACCTTTATCATGCCCTCCCTTTTATGTCTTTTTCAAAATTAGAAAGTGTTAAATGTTATAAGCTTTCATTGGGTGGTGCTGGTACTCCTGAGCTATGTAGCAACAGAAACATAAAGAGTTACGGTTGCTGTTCCTTCCTTCCTTCCTCCCAAGAGCGCCTCTGAAAATACACTGATGTAACTCTCAGCAGCACTGTGTGAAGGAAGGATGGCAATAGTCATCAGAGCTCTACTGCAATTCCTGGTAGAGCTTTTAAATTACAAATAAAGAGAAGCCCCACCTTTGTGCACTGTAATAATTGCACCCAAAATAGGGGTGGTGAATAAGGGTTGCTCATTTCTTTTCTGACTTAGTGTGTTCAAAAGATCACTTAATTCTTCAGTCTGGAATATTGCATTCACATCAGACTCTATCTATTGGCTAGAATTCTGAGTGTTCAGGAGTTTTTGTCCTCAATGATGTCCCTATGGTTGCATGCACATGACTGCATGGCTAGATAAAGAACCACTAGGGGAAGGAGAGCAAGGGAGGAATAGCATTCCAACATTCTTTTCCAGAAAGAATTTACCTCTGGTTGTATGTCAAGTTGTATAAAAGATACTGTGGCACAATGGGCCAGTGTGTCTGGCTGTTAACCAGAAGGTTGGTGGTTCAAGCCCACCATTCTATGATTCTAAGAACTGTGCATTTCTTTCAAACCATGACACAAGAAAAATGCTTTTCAATGGACATTTGCCTAAGACCATGTGATATCTCAGTTACCTTTATTGTTATTTAAGATAAAGGCCTTTACACACCTTGAATTGTCCATATAATGAGATCATTGAGAAGAACAGGACAACTGCTAGAGGGCCCCAGAAGTCAGGATTATCTCTTACTACTTGTCTGTTAAATCCAAGAGAAGGCATCGGCATCAAGACACATCGGATTTTGTAGTATATGTCCTTTAGATCAATGTCTAGCTCCTCCCTAAAGTTATATTAAAAATACAACTTTCAAAATATGCTTCTGAAATTATTTAAGTACCAGAAAACAAAGTAGCTCAAAGATTTATAGAATATCCATACATGTTCATGTAAACTATTGAGAATATATGTTTTGGTTTAGGTCAGGGGTCTGCAACCTTTAAGACAAAAAGAGCCACTTGGACCCGTTTCCGAAGAAAAAAAAGCCGGGAGCCGCAAAACTCATCATTATAAAAATAACTTTTTTGTCACTTTTTTAAAATTATTTCTTTGTTTGACCCCTCAGAATTACTCCTCCTCATAGAAATAAACGTTAAATTAACAAGTTACCTTTTTGTGTGTGTGTGTGTGTTCTTCACTCCCCTTCAAAACAGTGACCAGGATACATGCCCCCTTTCAATGCAGTGACCAGCGTACATGCCCCTTACAATGTAGCGAGCAGGCGGGCAGGAAGGTGACGCCGGGACGGTGTGTGACTAACGCACGCACCGCCCCCATGCGATGTCACAGCCAGTACAGTGGGGAGTGTCGGGGCGCACAATGCGCCTCCTCCCCTCGCTAGTATCCACTCCGCAGCCGCGGCAAAGGTGTAAAAGAGCCACATGGGGCTCAGGAGCCGCGGGTTGCAGACCCCTGGTTTAGGTTTAGTAAAATGTTGTATTATAACTGTATTATGTTTTGAATTTAATTATATATACAATGAATATTTTTATATATTTGCATTCTAGTCAGCTTCTGAAATGAAAACATATAAATCACAACATGCAAAGTAAAAAGAAATTGCTCTCTGCCCATGTCAACCTCAGCTATCACTGAACAAATGGAAGCAATGCCACTTTTCTGTAACAGCAAGACAAATAGTAACAAGGCTTATCCTACATTCCTGACAGCTAGATTTGCCCCATAGTTATTACTTTCTAATACATTTTTAGTCTGCCCTTTATCATCATCAATCTCAGGAAAGAACCTATTGACTCCTTACTCTGCTCTTAGCCCTCAGGAAAGAAGACACCTTAGCAGGAAACCTAAGGAGGCAAGGCAACAAACAGCCCACAACCATGGTGCTAACAAAAACAGAGGTGCTTTCATTAAGACAGAGGCAAAAGTGTAAAATTATGGTTAGATTTAACAAGCCACCTTCAGCTACATTTTGAAGTTGGCTTCTTTGAAATTAAGGCAGATTAGAGTTAGGCACAGTTTCTTCCTCACAGAACATGGCAAATCAGTTATGGAAAAGCAAGAACTTCTGAAGTCCTTTTCCCAGCCAAGAAGAAGAGGATAGGGGAGTGCAGAAGCCAAAGATTCATTGCTGCTTGTTCCTGCTCATGCATATCACAGTAAACTACAGTTTAGTGTAATGGGAGAATGTGTCCACTATGAACAGTGATGAATTGTCTTGAATTTTAACCTTTACTTATAATGCAAAAAAAATCTCTTGAATGAGACACAAATAATCTGTGTCTACACTTTATTCAAGGGTCTGTAGTTAATGAAGAGTTAATGATTTTCCTATTGCATCCCTGTTCACCATTCACACACAATACTGACCTAAAGCAAGTAACCGCTTCAAATACAAAATTAAACTAAGACTCTCGGAGTAATGTTACTTACAAAAGAGGTTTATTATCTTCAGGGTCATCATCTTCTACTTCCAAAAGCCAGCCATATCCTCTCTGCCTCAGGAATGTAGTTGCAGTAGATTCTTTGATAAATTCCCCATTTCCTCCACCAAGGTTGAGCTTCACATCTGCAGAGGCTATTGAACCACTCAGATCTTGACAGGGAAAATGACACATTTATGAGAAAGCTACCAAAAATACAGAATAGGTGGTTATGCATGAGTTTCAATACATATATTCCACAAAAGTGGAATATACCAAAATTATAGAAAAGATTATTATAAGAGATCATTGAATTATCCAGGATCTAACATTTTGTCTCTGCTCCCCGCAACCCAACAAAGTGGCACATTGGCTAACACACTGCATATTGGTTTTTTCTGCTGGTCTTAAGGACCCCTGTCAAGACTGTACTGCCTACTGTGCCACAATCCCAATCAACAAAGGAGGTTGATGTGGGCAGCTAAATCAGATACGCTTCATAGTGCTATCTGGGCACCAAAGAATTTGGCAGACCACTGTCTAAATAGCACAGAGGTTCTTGAAAATACAGAAGTCTGCCTTCTCAGATAAGACAGGATGTGTGAAATGTGCTGCAATATAGTCGTTCACGCACACCTAATCCATTTCTCCCCAGCACAAAACTGGTCATTCCCAAAGCACAAGTTTCAAGGCAGGATTTGCCCGCTCCAGACAATCCTGTGTGCAGGGTGAGGCAACCAAAAGCAGGTAAAAGGAAGAAGCCTCGAAGATGTGGGTGGCCTGTCAATCTCACATACCTATTTTATTCAGCCCTCCATTCATTTGCCATTCAAAAGCTTGCATGCACCCCCTCCAGAAAGCTCCCTCGCCATCTGCATCTGCTTCTTTTTTTAAGCGGGTCAAACACGCCCCATCTGCACGCAGGTGGCTTTTGCCACGCAAACCCTGTGACGGGGGCCACAAGGCGGAGTATTTGCACTGGATCACATTCCCACACCCAAACAGCAGAAAGAAGCACGACGGCACCCACTTATTCAGCCTGGCAGCCCCAGGTATGCGGCTGCCGCCCCTGACGCAGCTCCGGGAAGGGGCGCCCTGTTCCTTCCCACTGCAAGACCCCCCAATTCTTACCTTCGGCGTCGGCCGAAGAGACGAAAGTGAAGTCCCCGTTGTTGGGCGCGTAAAGGGGCGGAGGCGGCGGGGGCCGTGGGGGCTGCTGGGGGCCCGGAGGCTGCATCGCCCCGCCCGCTTAAAGCCTCGAAAGCCGGGCCCGTCGAGCGAGCGACACCACCGGGAAGCCCGTCGGCAGCAACCCGGAGAAGCAGAGCCGAGCTAAAGCTGCTGCTGCTGCTGCTGCCACCGCAGCCTCCTCCGCCTCTTCCTGACTGAGGGACAAAACAACAGTGAGGCCGCCCTTCCGAGTGGGCCTCAGTAAGGCCCTCTCCGATTGGCCGGGATGAAAAGCGCTTCCTCGTTGCCGTCGCCTCGCCCACCTCTGCGGCAAATCTCATTGGTGCGCGGGGCCACCGAGCCCAGTGATTGGCTGAATGGGAGCTCGCGATGAGGAAGGGGGAAATAGATTCGATGTGGACGATTGCGAAGAGGGAGGGGAGGATGCGAGCGCATCCGGCCACGGGAGGCCTAACTCCGCCTTCCTCGGGCTCCCGCCCCTATAGCCCTGCAACTCGCGCGTCATTGGCCACGCCACGCCTTGCATTGGAAATCGCCTGACGCCAAGTCAGACCAGCCCAGCTAGCTCAGTGGGTCTACGGCGCACTGACTGGCAGCCGATCTCCAGGGTTTCTGGGGATTGCCCTACCTAGCTCTACCTGGATATGCCTAGGAATGAACCTGAGGTTTTGTTGGAAGCCGCCCAGAGTGGCTGGGGAAGCCCAGCCAGATGGGCGGGGTATAAACTTATTATTATTATTATTATTATTATTATTATTATTATTATTATTTATTATGTCTTCCTTCTGCATACAAAGCAGATATTCTGCCACTGAGTTACAACGGCATGCTATGTTTTCTACCTTTGAGTATCCTAGGTTCTCTTTCACACCTGGGCTGTATACATACTTCAGCCTTTGAAGCCTTGTACTCAGCAAAAACATCATCACATATGTGAAAAGTGGGAAAGGTGGGGGGGGGGACCAGCCACACACAGTCACATAAGTGTGTCCACAATGGAGTAGCATGCAAATTTATATTAGTTTCCCCCCCCCCTTTCCTAATGGATTTTCCACAAACGGGAAATCCAGTTTGATTGGGGTGGGGGGAGTGCATTCTGCCACTTAGATAAGGACAGACATGAAAAACGTGCATACATGGGATGCATCCAATACAATCCAAAATGATGTGTGTACACACATCCTCTCTTTGCTCCCAGCTGGGCGTTTATAGTGGGATTGGTGCTCATGCATGCAAGTTCTTTCCTGCATCTATACTATGTTGTTGGCATCAACACTCCCCAACTTAATCAGAATTTAGCCCTTTATGAGGGAAATCCAGTAAGTAAAAATAACTTGCTAACAACACATTTGCAATTTAGGGTGCTGCTACAATCTCGAAGCTCTCCCCCACCCCCCCACTACACAAGCAACATGAGTTGTGCAAAGGTCTATTTCGGTCTGAACCCTGTACACAGTGACTTGAGAATAAGCACATTTAATTCAGTGGGACTTAATTCTGAATAGGCATGCTTAGGATTGTATTGTATTTTATTTTATTCAAGTTGGCACCCTTGATTGGAGCTGAGAGTCCAGCAACATGGTTAGTTTATATTCTTACAATTTAGCTATCAAATAGCAAAGTTCATCACCATTGTATTAAAATGTTCCTGCAATTGTTATTTTTCAGGTGCTGCTTGACAAATGTCTCAAGAACACCTTGATTGCTTGGTTCAGGATTTAGCTGACTTTTATAAGTATCCATTATTTTAAAATTTTCACCTACTGCGTGAATAAATTGACATCATTTTTTATTTTACAACTACTTATACAGATACTTTGCTTTGGAGGCTAGGACAGCTGTCTTTAAATGCCCTTTTAGATGAACTAGAAGATGGCTCATTAGGGCTGCCATACATCCGTAATTTCCCGGACATAGCTGGGATTCGTCTGCCAAAAGTAGCGTCTGGGTGAAATTTTCTAAAATCAGTTAATATGTCTGGCATATGGCAGCTCATCTCAGAAGTCTTGATTTTTTTTGGTGAATTTTCTTTAAAAACCTTGGGTTTTTTTTGAGATTTTGCAAAACAAAAACAAAAACTCAATAACTTTTTGAAATATGGCAACCTGTATAATAGAGGGAGAAGCTGGCAAAGGAAAAACAACTCTCCTCAAAAGGATTGCCTGGTTGTGGGCTAATGGAAACCAACCTTCGATGAGAAAATTCAAGCTTGTTTTCTTTATCAGTCTGAGCAGTACTCAGGCTGGACTGTATGAAACAGTGTGTGAGCAACCTCTTACAGAACAATATGAGATGGGCAAACAGGAGTTTTCTGTTTGATGGATATGATGAATTCAAACCCCAGAGATGCACAGAAATAGAATCACTGATCAAAGACATTTGTAAATTCAAAAACAGTCGTTGTTACTACAAAGACTGAGTCAATTAGAAGTTTGAGGCTTTTTGGGTCGCTGATTTATGAGACAGGTGATTGGCTGAGGAAAGTGCAAAACAGCTAGTTAGAAATGTATTGAAAGGCCAGTTAGCAGAGGGCTTGTTGTCTCAACTGAATACAACAGATTCTTTTTTTCAGAAATCAGGTCAAGAACCATATGAAGACCCCTTTGTTTGTAGTTATTGCTTGTGCCATCCAAGTGGGGGAAACTACTTTAAATCCACAAAACAAAACATTCTCTTCTCTACAATACATGATTTGCTGGCGGGGGAAAACAAGCACAAGAGCAGAGGGATTTGTGAAGACCATTTTCGCCTAAGCATAAACCCCTGTGGAGATTTAGCACTAGAGGGAGTATTTGACCACAAATTTGATTTTCAGCCTGAGGATTTCTCCAGTGTGAAAGAACAAGTCCTGCTAGCTATAGTCCTCATGAATAAATACACAGCTCAGAGACTAAAGCTGGTATCTTGAATTTTTCATAAGTCTTTCCAGGAATACACTTGGAGACTTTCCAAGTTATTAACATCCAATTGGGATAAGGAAGCGGCCAGAGGGCATAGTTACCTTCTATGAATGAATAGCATCTCAGATATTATTACTACATACCACAGTTTACTTCTTTTTCTTTCTTTCTTTTTCTGTATACTTATAGATTATAAACTGAAGCCACCAGAAAAATTATCAGGCACCTATCAGCCATAGATCAGCAAGACAGTCTTTTTGGATTGCCATCTTCCCATGATCTGTCATCAAAAATAGAATCCATGAAAAAGGAAGGAAATTATCAAGTGGAAAAAGCGCTAGTTGCAGTTCTTGGAAACTCATTTGTGGAGTGTGCCATTAGTAGAATAACAAGGCATTTGAAATGCACAAGGGACAGAAACATTTCCAGTATGACCTGTAAAAAAAAAAAAAGTGCAACAATAACTGAAACACTAAATAGCCTCATCCTTATTTTATTGTACAGTACATCATATTGTGTACTTGCATTATATGTTCAAATAATGAGAATTAGGTAGATTTGTATTTAAATGCAAACTGAATCAAATTGCTGTTCTATCCCAAATTATAACTGAGTGGTAGGGCATATGTTCTGCATGTAGAAGGTGCCAGGGTCAATTCTTGGCATATCCAGATAGGGCTGGCAAAGATTAGTGCCTGAAACTCTGCAGAGTTGCTGACAATCAGTGTCAACAGTAAGCTGAAGAAATAGCTCAGTTGGTTAGAGCGTGGTCCTCATAAATTTGAGGTCACATGTTCAGTTCCTGTATGGGACAACGGCATATTCCTGCGTTGCAGGGGGTTGAACTACATGATCCTCAGGGTTCCTCCTAACTCTACAATTCTATGATTCTATAATGCATTGGTCAGACTGAGTGGAAAATAGCCTCCTAAAGATAACAAAAAACTTTGGAGACTGTCAGACTCTTAGTATCTGAAGTTCCACATTAATGCGGACTGCCGTGTGATCTTTGGATGAAGGGCGCTGTACAAATTTAATAAATAAAATAAATGATAAAAACAAATGTTTGTGCAAAGTTGTAGAAAAATATATTGGGGCCAGCTGTAAAACCAGCTGTAGTTATAGTACTCATTACTAGGCTGATAAAATGTGAGCAAGCGGAACCAGGCCAGCCCCAAACATTTTGCTGCTTGAGGCAGATTAGCAAACGGTGCCTCATCCCCCCCCCATGTCAAGGTACATTGTACACAAAACCAGCCTGGTTATTTGAATATTTCAAGCAGAAGATCCCGCAAGGACCCCTTCTTTTCCTGGCTGTAAAAACAGAACAGTAAATTAAATAACATAACAATTTGCTGCCCTTTTATGATACCCAAAATTTGCCGCCTGAGGTGCCTACTTCTCTGCCTAATAGTAGGGCTGGTTTTGGATGGCGACAACTTCATGGATAAAGCTTTCTATAATGCCTTTAAGGCAATTGTGCAATTGTGCATCTGTGACGTTGCACTCAATGAAGTTCTCCAGGAACAAGTCATTTCAAAATTAGCTTCAGATAGCTTTCCGAGTTTTGTTTCATTTGGAGTCCCATCAGTTATAAAGTACTGGCTTTGCCTAGAGATAAGCAGCTTTAGGGTTCATTTTAGTTGGACTATTTCCCACATGCGTAATAAAAGTGTTCTTAATGCTCCTTAGAGGCTTGTTAATAAGATTAGAAGAAGGATTGTAATATTTGTAGTAGATGACTATCCGATAAATGTCTAATCTCCTTTTTAGGAGAAAGAGGATTGTTAAAGAAACAGCCTTTTGGTATAAATCCCAAACAGTAGCAATTGTTAACTTTCAGCAGCTTATGAGCATTACCAGGCTGTTGCTAATTAAAATTCTTACACAGAAAAGTCATGTCACCCTGGCCTTGACCTGCCTCATATGATTGCAGCAGTTGCCCTGAATCAGTGGAGACTTGGAATGTGTTGATCACCTTCATCACTTAATTTATTGGGCGAGCAAATGGCACGCCGCCGGAACATTAATTGTCTTCACACTTTATAGCATGCAAATATAATCACTAGGTGGCCTTGGACCAGTCACTGTCTCTCAGACTAACCTACCTCACAGGGGTGTTGTGGGGCTAAGATAGGGAGGGGCAGAGTCATGTATGCCACTTGGAAGAAATTTTACAATAAATAAAATGATATCAATGCCCTTTAAGTCAGTGCTGGTTTTTGTTTAATAATAATAATAATAATAATAATAATAATAATAATAATAATAATAATAATTATTTTATTTGTATCCTGCCCTCCCTGGCCAAGGAGGTTTAGTTCCTGTGACCACTCATGGACCATCCATCACAATTTGTCCCATGGAAGAGGCTGACTATAATGACATGAACAAGAAAGAATATTCAGGAATTCTAAAAACTAAAAATGAGCGATATGGCAAATACATTTAAATAATACAAAAGTGATCTGAACTGTCAGTTTTTGTCTGTCCAAACCAGTGTAGATTGTAAATGTAAAAATGTAAAGTGAGACTAATATACTTAGGGGAGCAACACAAGGATGTGCACACCCTGTTGTGAGTGTGTGTGTGTGTGCAGGAAAATGTTTAGTGCTCTAGTGTCTTCCTCTAGTGTAGGCTAGTGGTTAACAGTGCAATCCTAATCATGTCTATTCAGCAGTGCTACTGAATTCAGAAAGGCCTACTCCCAGGTAAGTGGAGTTAGGATTGCAGCTTAAGTGTGTGAACTAGGAACCAGGAAACCCTTGCTTTAAATATCAAAGTTAGATTACTGCAATGCGTTATACGTGGGGCCACTTCTGAAGATGGTTGAAAAATTTCAGCTGGTGCAGAATTTGGCAGCCAGGTTGCTCACCAAAGCAAGACAGTTTGAGCATGTAACACCAATCTTGGCCCAACTGCACTGGCTGCTGATTAGCTTCCAGGCCCAATTAAAAGTACTGGTTTTGACCTATAGTCTTAAATGGCTCAGGACTGCAATGCTCCATATGAATCGACCCAGACCCTGCCCTCATTATCCATGGCCCTTCTTTAAGTGCCCTCCCCACAAGAGGTCCAGAGAGTGGCAACACAGCAATGGTCTTTTTCTGCAATGGATCCCCATTTGTGCAATGCTCCCCACAGGGAGGCTTGTCTGGTCTCTTCATTACATATCTTTAGGCAACAGGTGAAAACGTTTCTCCCCGGCCTTTGGCTAATTAAACAATCTATGGCCTTTTAAACTGAAGGAGGGTTCTTGTTTTTGTTTGTTACTATATTATGTATTTTTCTGTTTTTATATTGTAAACTGCTCTGTGATTATTGGCTGAAGGGCAGTACAGAAATTTACTTCTTATTTATTTTAGTATTATCGGTCCCAAATTATTATTTTCTGTGTGGATGTGTGTGTGTGTCTTTGTAGTCAAACAAGCTGTTATATAGTAGCTCAGTCTTCCTCTTCATGGAACAACCCAGTTGGAATTATTGCAAGAATTACTTAGGGCTGCTTCAAAGTGTATGGGAAAAACCTCCGGGGCACAGGCTATTGGACATAACAAGATACCTTGCCACTTTAAAAAAAAGTTTACTATTTTAGTTATGTCATTTGGTTTTAATTATAATGTGTTTTGTATTTGTTTGTTTTCCCTCCACCTTTTTTCATTGTAATTATACATGTGGTTCCCACCCCCTCCTATAAAGTCGTTTTGGAAAATTATTTTTTAAAGTCCAGAATTTTATTCTGATTTCTGTTCCTAGCCACTGGGTGTCACTGTTTCTCTATGACTATAATCCAGAGAAAAATCAGAAAGAAACAAAAAAAATTCAAGTAACCCAATAACATCTTTGGAATAGAACTGTAACTCGTTTTATACCAGGCTAAGAGAATTCAAGAGCAGATTGGGGCTTGTCCACATCTGAACATTAGTTGTTTAGTCATGTCCGACTCTTGGTGACCCCATGGACCAGAGCACGTCAGGCACTCCTGTCTTCCATTGCCTCCCACAGTTTGGTCAAACTCATGCTGGTAGCTTCGAGAACACTGTCCAACCATCTCGTCCTCTGTCATCCCCTTCTCCTTGTGCTCCCAATCTTTCCCAACATCAGGGTCTTTTCCAGGGAGTCTTCTCTTCTCATGAGGTGGCCAAAGTATTGGAGCCTCAGCTTCAGGATCTGTCCTCCCAGTGAGCACTCAGGGCTGATTTCCTTAAGAATGGATAGGTTTGATCTTCTTGCAGTCCATGGGACTCTCAAGAGTCTCCTCCAGCACCATAATTCAAAAGCATTAATTCTTTGGCCATCAGCCTTCTTTATGGTCCAGCTCTCACTTCCATTATTAAACCCTTTGGACATCCCCAGGTATCTTAAATGGGAGACTCCACGCCCTCACCCCACTTGGCAGTCATCCATGAAGGAGATCTGAACATTATCAAGCTGTTAATCCACTCCCCCCCATTCAGATTAGACAGTAGTAGTTCACACCAGCAGGTATTTGAATTTGCATATAAAGAGCAACTTTGGTCTTTCCCATTCATACTAGTGGACAGCGTGCAAACTTGAATAAAATATGGGGTCCCACATAATAAATCACATGACGGGGTCACGAACACCATTTGAATAGCAAATGGGGGGGGTCCTCAAATATTTTATGGGGGGGGCAGAGGGACCCCAACCCCTAGGAGTTGACTCCTGTGCCAGTGGATGTTCTCTTTTGTCCCTGCCTTCTAATTTGTCAATTCTGTCATGTCAATAAAGTACCAAAGATAGCACACAGACTTTGGGTTGTTGGGTTTTTTATATATAAAAAAATCCTGCCCAGAAAAGCAGTTAGGCAGTTGTAAATTCTCAACACACTTCAGATTACTGTTCAATATCTGTTGTAGAAACTTCTGATGTGGTTTGCTTGTGCAGTTTTCTGGTTTTGTGCAAATCGGAGGGATCAAATGCGAGAGAGAAAATAAAACTACACTCCTCCATTCAGGAGCCTGGAGGAAACAGTTACAGGCACAGCCAGAATAACAGCATTGAGGAAGTAGTGGCCATGCAAAGGGGAATAGCAGAAAGTGATGGTTGATCCACCTACCCAAAAACACAAACACAAATTGTCTGCGAGCCCAAATGCATGATTTAGAACAGGGATGAGCAAACTTTTTCTTCAGGGGGCCAGTCCACTGTCCCTCAGACCTTGGGGGGGGGGGCTATATTTTGAAAAAAAAAATAACAAATTCCTAGGCCCCACAAATAACCCAGAGATGCATTTTAAATAAAAGGACACATTCTACTCATGTAAAAACACGCTGATTCCCGGACTGTCCATGGGCCGGATTTAGAAGGTGATTGGGCCAGATCCGGCCCCTGGGCCTTAGTTTGCCTACCCATGATTTAGAACCTTGAGGAGTTTCTTTCTTCCACAGCTCCCTCAATGAGGGAATCTCCCTTCAGCTTTTCAGTGAGCCCTAGGCCAAAAGGACTTCGAGTCCTGGCAGGTTCCCAACTCTACCCACACACTACACCCCAGGATCACTCTGTTTTGGGTGCAAAGTGTCAATCTAGGCAGCCTTATCTAAGCATACTTTCTAACAGGAACAGCACAGGGAAGAAAATATCTGTATCTGCTGAGAGGATAATGCAGCAACACTTTGCTCATCCATCTTCTGTGTGTCAGAGTACAAAATGCACGATACCACTTTTCTGTTCTTATAGTATTATACTTCCCACATTTGCCATGACAGATGTGACATTTCTATTGACACACCGCATGTATTGCCTACATATCATCTCATGGCCTTCAGGCTATAGGACAAAGTGCCACCTCACGTGAAGAAAATCTTTCTGACATCTGTGGCAAGCAACTGTTTATTTCTAGTTGCCTGAGGATGTAAATCCAGCCTGGAATCATATAAAAGTGTTTTCTTAGCTTTTTGTGTGATGTTAAAAGCAACTGGGGAAAAAGAAGGCCACAACGACAGCTAAAGATCTAGCAGAAAAGCAAACACTTTTTAAAAGCTCCCCCCACAACCGAATAGATTTCTAATTTTGTGGAGCTCTTGAGTACAATGAAACTTCATTTTCTGAATGACCAGAAATATGTTAAACATATTTGTTTACTTTGGAGTTCAGATAAACAAGACTATTTGCATATATATTTGGGATTATCAGGCAAGCTGAAGGGTTGATGGAGGAAAGCTTCTTCTTTTCCCTTGTGCCTCCCCCCCCCCCAGTTTGACCCATGAAAACTATTCATCCTCAGCAATGTATATATGATAGTGTCTGTCAAATAGATAATGGCTACATTATGATAGTAAGCCATAGCATGGGAACACTGGTTCTGGTCCTGCAAGAAAAAATGGATCTCTGATCTTTCAATAAATAAAGTTATGCGAGTTGCTGGCCAGCAGATCAGCAAGTGAACTATCTGGTGTTCAACAAAACCTACATTGCTGGCATATTTTCAAATTCTTCCCGTAGAAGGGAATTTAGTAGCTATCCAAATCCCAGATTCGTCATTCGGGGAACAGGTTGGATGGGTCAGGGGTCATCCTGTGTCTCAACCAGAACAGTTCTGCCAGCCTCTGCTCACAAAATGACACCAACATTGCTTTGCTACAGTAGTGTTTCCTGTTCCACCCACTAAAAATTCAGACAGGCAGAATGTGGGCATCCTTGATATGGTAGCCCTCATTATTCTATTGAATAATACAATAAAGGGACGCGGGTGGCGCTGTGGGTAAAAGCCTCAGCGCCTAGGGCTTGCCGATCGAAAGGCCGGCGGTTCGAATCCCCGCGGCGGGGTGCGCTCCCGTTGCTCGGTCCCAGCGCCTGCCAACCTAGCAGTTCGAAAGCACCCCCGGGTGCAAGTAGATAAATAGGGACCGCTTACTGGCGGGAAGGTAAACGGCGTTTCTGTGTGCGGCTCTGGCTTGCCAGAGCAGCGATGTCATGCTGGCCACGTGACCCGGAAGTGTCTCCAGACAGCGCTGGCCCCCGGCCTCTTGAGTGAGATGGGCGCACAACCCTAGAGTCTGTCAAGACTGGCCCGTACGGGCAGGGGTACCTTTACCTTTAAATACAATAAAGTACAATATATAATAAATAAAAGCCGCAACAAAAATAATTAAAAATCTTGTATCATCTAGCACAGCACATTACAAATTCTACAGCAGATAGAAAAATCTGCCAAGACCCTCAGAAGTTTAAAG